AATTATTCAAAACATGAAATTTTTAGAAATTACAAATGATTTTTTTTTAAGAAATTGTAAGGCAAAAAGTTTTTTTCTAAATTTGATTCAAATGATGAAAAAAATTAGATAATATTTTAATAATAATAATTGACATTTGTTTTCAATCCAAAAAATATAAAATGTATTTCAAAATAAATAGCAATTATTAAGAATGAAAGAAATCACAATTGGTTGATTTTCTAAAAAAATTTCAAAATGAGAAGTTTTTCTAATTTTAATCTATATGGTAGAAAATTTTAGATAAATTTCGATAATAATTATTAACATTTGTTTTCAAATCAATAACAATAATAATAGAATTTTTCAAAATTTTTTAAAAATAAATAAAAAATTATATGATGAAATTTTTAAAAATAATGAATGATTGATTTTTTTAAGAAATTTCTAAGTTAGAAAATATTTCTAAATTTAGTTCAAATAGTAAAAATTTTAGATAATTTTTACTAATGTAAAGAGCATTAAAAAAAGAAAATTTGATTAGAAATAATGAAATCCTTGTAATAAAACATAAAATTAAATCTGATGATAAAATTCTTAATATAAAAAAATATATGATTTTCTAAGAAATTTTTATATAAGAAAATATTCCTAAATTTAACCTAAATCGTGAAAATTTTAGGTACATTTTTAATAAAATATAAAAAGTTCAAGAAATAAAAATAGATTATTAGAATCAATTTTTTTTCCTTTTTCATAAAAGATTTAACAAATCCAAGGACAACATTTTTTCGAGAAAATAAATGAGATTTTTAAACATTTTTAAAGATGAAATTTTTAAGAATTCTTTTAGATTGATGGAAAAAAGCTAAAAAATTATTTTTAATATTTAAATAATAAAATTTAATTAAGAATAAAAAACCTTTTAAACGAAGATAATATTATGATAATTTGAAATTAAATGATATCATTTTAGGATAAAGGTTATGGAGATGCTATAATCTTCTCCACAGTAGCCAATATCTTGAACCTAGTTTTGAAACGAATGTCAAAATTTATTTGTCTAGTGGCCCTTAATGAAGTTTAGGAAAATTTTTTTAAAAAAATAGATTCAATTAAGTGAACTGTCACACATAGATTAAAAAATATTGGTGGTGACTTCTAAATTTATTTCTAACGGTTAATTTTACAAACTTATACGTTATGACAATTTGATAACTCAATTAAGGATTTCAAGAGCCGAGTTATTAAATCATTTTAGATTATCCTAAATCAAATCTTTATTGAATAATTTTGATTTTTACATGTTATTTTATTGCTTTTCTTTTGCTTATTTAATTATTTATCTGTAAATAGTTGTGGGCATTTTGTGGTATGTTCTTTCGTACATACTATCATATACATGTAAATGACATGAACTTTATACCCAGGCCCCATTCAAATTATAAGGGGTAAAGTACTTATATTCTTGTCAGATGATAATCTCTGCATTAGCTAATGAAATACTCTTATTCAAATTGAATCATTTTCATTTGTAGTTTCCATTTGTAGCCTACAATGGACAAAGGTTAGACTTCTTTACTAGTTCTACATAAATGACAATGAAGAACAATTTGAAAACCTTTAGATTGCAAGAATCCAAACTTTACATGTGGGAAAACCTAAGAAGCCAGCTTTAATGTAGAGCCATAATCCACCCATTGTTTTGAATGAAACCTAAGATTAGAACATTTTTCATTACATATCTTTGTCATTCCACATATTCTCACACATCAGAGCATGTTATGTGTATTAAATAATATGGTGAAAATTGTGAAAAATTGCCAGAGTTAGAAAAATGATAAGAAAAAAAATGATGAGGTTTTATGATTAGTTATCAATTTATTTACTTTGCTTTTCTTATTCTTTTAAATTTTTGCATTATATGGGTAGTATATATAATTTGCTTTAGCATATTTACATCCATACATCATCATTGCATGCATTCATCATATCATCACATAATATGAAAAGCACTTATTTTAATTTGGGGCAATGATTTAAAAGACTTGAGAGATCAATTGGAAGCACAAATTTAAGTCTTGATAATCAAGAGGAATATGGACATGAACTTCAAGAAATGAAAATTCAATTTACTAAGTTGATGAAAATGTTTGAAAATCTTGATATGGTCCATTCTCAAGAGTCTTCATCACTTTCAACTTATTTATATGTAAAGTAACCATTGTGTCAAGACCGTCAATCCTTAATAGGACCAATGCTTGTCTGAGTGCATCCAATGGTTCAACTAAGGACTAAATTAGAAAAAGTGTAAATAAAATGAGGCCAACTAATTTCACACACTCCATAATTGGTTCACATATGAACCTTTATTCATATTCTGCTATTTTTCAACCACTCTTTTTAATATCCCAAATAGGACATTTTGCTATCATACAACCCTTACAGATTAGCTAGAATCCATATTCTCACTTGGCCATGAATAATGCCTTTTAAACAAGCCCTTGGGCACATATGTCTAATTCTACTCTAGTATCTGCATCTACAAATCAATCAATTACTCATCCAAAAAACCTGGTAAGTAAAAGAAAATTAAGAGTTATTATCAATCAAATCCTTATTACTTACACTGAGTTATTTTCATAACTTACTAAAAACCATATTATAACACCAGTTTAACTAAAGCCATTAGAGCCTCATCATCCTAAATGGTATGATACTAATACTCAGTGCAATTATCACTATGAGAATATAAGTCATTTTACAAAGAGTTGTTTTACTTTTAAGCATAAGGTATAGAATCAAGGCTGGCTTGTTGAGTTTTGAGAATGAAAAAGCACTAAAGGTTGTAGAAAATTCTTTACCTAATCATATGGAGACATAGTTAGATTATAAGAGGGCTAAAGATTTTATCAATGGCAGTACCTTGATTTTAAAGCTGAAATATAAGACTAGATAATAGATTTTAGATTTGTTTAAGAATGTTACTTGGGCATTCTTGACAAAACAGTTTTTAATTATAATAAAAGATATTTTGTTATGTGATACCACTCAATACATCCATTCATTTATTCATTCATATAGAAAATTTTCTTTTCTTTGCTTAAACTTGTATTTAGATATTAACTTAATTCTTAATTATGATAATAAAGGTTTAAGATAGCTCAACCATCAAAGATCTCAAGGCAATCTACTATCACGCGTACAACACTTGTACCTAAGTCAAGATTATAAAACAAGAACAAAGTAGCTGAATTGAGAAAGTTTAAAAAGTTTAAAAGGAAATAAAAAGAGATTTAGCCAAGATAATGGACCTGTAAAAAACTCAAAATAAAGGAAAAAGAGCAAAGAAAGTTTTTACACAAAATAAGCATAAATCGCAAAATGTATACCCTTTTGAGTTTGGCACATACCAAGCTTAAACATTCTTAGGGCACCACCACAATAAGCACCATTTTTTGAGGCATACCTTTATCATGAAATACCTTCAATAGCTACATAAGGATAGTTTCAAAGATATACTACTCTTGTTTTATGTAGAAAAAAATAAATTCCAATTCAAGTTCCTGATAAAAGATAGATCTCATATAAGAAAAGTTTCAAGCTATCAAAAGAATAGGTTTCTATGTTTCTATTGACGTAGTGGAGCTTTGCTTGGTGTAAGATGTGGTCGTTCTAGTTAAGTTTAAGGTCTAATAATTTAAAAAGTATAATGGGACCAAATGTTTTATGACTCATGCTACTATGTATTATTAAAAAATGATTGTCCATGCATATAATGATAAATTATTGATCCATATCTTTTGGGATAATCTCACATAATTTTTTATATCTATTTTTAATAAATCTCAAAACTTTTCGAATATTTATTTCTGAGAAGCCCTGAGTCTTTTTTAATATCTATTTTTGAAAAAACTCGAAGCTTCTAGAATATTCATTTTCGAAACGTTTGATTTTACTTTTAATCAGTGAAAACTTTAATCATGCGCTTATGAACTTATTTACTTGATCATGTGTTGGAATGAAATAGAAATAAATATTCAAAAATATACATGGTAGAACTTGTTCTTTTTGTTTAGATTCCAGAAACCAAGAACACCATTTTTCTAGTTTTTTGGCTTTATATGGGTAAATGGGTGTTCTTGATTTTCTGGTCTTAAGAAAAGAACACTTTTATACCCATGCATGCTTGAGAACTAATAATTTTCTTCTATTCGTACATATAATCAAGTAAAAATAGGTATATTAATGACTCGTGTGTTCATACATACTAGTTCGAGCTTGAACACCTTATAAAATATTGATTCTGATAATGTCATCAATAGATTGACAAATCCGATAGTAAAGACCTCTAATCTTTCAAAACTAGTGGCCTGAAAATTAAAGGTCTCAATTGTAAGAATTAAGCCATATCACGAAGAAATTATTAGAAACATTTGAAAATCCTAGCACATTAGATTTATTTATTTTAGTATTATTTATTTTAAGATTAAATGCATTTATTTTATTTAAATTTAAATTAAATGTTATCAAGAGTTTATAATTAAATATATATTTAAACAAAATTTTATGTAATTTCATAAATGAATTTTCAATGATACAATATGACTATAAAAAATTTGTTTCCGAAAACATAATATAATTCTCTTTCTTACCTCATCGGTAATACTAAAATAAATAAATCTAATTTAAGAAGGTAAGAACATAATAATTAAAATAAATAAAAAATAATTTATTAATACACTTTTAAAATAAAATCTTCAATGATAATTTTTATTTTCACTTCACTATTATCATTAATTTTATATCCAAGCAAAAATTTAACCATTATTTTTAATCTTACTCTTATAATTATTAATTTTATTTTTATATTTATTTTTAATTTTATTAAAACTAATATCGTTCATCCAAATTAATCATAAATTCAATTTCATTGGTCCACTTTCACCGTTCTTGACTTTAAAAGTAATTTCGTCAATGCCACGCTTTTAATTTTATTTTAATTATTTTTCTGTAAATACTTTTTCTTTTTCTTTTTCTTCCATTTACTTTTCAGTTCGACCTAGTCTTCCTTCTCCCTCCACTCTCTTTACCTATTCTCCATTTTGTTTTATTTATATAAATATCTTTGTTTTTGAAGATCTAATTATAATTAAGAGAAATATTTCAATAAAAAATGGCGAGGAGTAGATCATCTTCATCTTCGAGTAAATTGAGATACTGTAACCCTTCGTATTATTTGAAAAGACCGAAGCGTTTGGCTCTGCTTTTAATTGTATTTGTTTCAGCTACTTTTTTCGTTTGGGATCGTCAAACTCTCGTTAGAGAACACGAGGTAAACTTTTTCTACTTTTGATTCTTTAATTTAAGGTATTGCTCCGTTTTCTTTTCTTTTTTCTTTTTTTTGTCTGAGAAATCATGATGGATGAGCATAATGTTTAACTTTCCGCTTCATTGACCAAAATTTATTACTTTGTTAATTTGATGTAAAATTGAAGGAATTATAATTTTTTTTTTATGAAGAAAGGAATAAGAATTGTTAGATCATGAATTTAAGCAAAACGACGGCTGATCTGTTTGCACTAATTGCTATCATTCTAAGATTGTTTATGGAAATTTAGACGAATTTTGATTTTGAATCAGAAAGCAGGTTAATTTGTGAATATTTCTTATTTTTCTTTTTTGTAATTTTGGTGTTGGTTTTTGGGGAGAATGAATTAAGGTGTGATTCACTATTTTATAGCTAAGAAATTAGTAAAAACATTTCGAATTTGAACGTGATGAATTATAAGAAGCACTTTCTTTTATGCATTCTTGCAACCGGGATTCTGTCTTCTATGAAAAAGGGAAGTACTAAAATTATGAATTTTAAGGATTTGATGGCTTAAAAATTGAGTCGATATTCAATATGATTTGGGAGAATGATATGCGATGGCAGCTGTGTGCATATTCGTTACTTGAAGTGGATACACACTGGCTATAGGAGTTAAATTCTTTTTAAATGACTGTCTATAACAAATTTCATACTGACATGCAGGTTGAAGTGTCCAAGTTGAATGATGAAGTGCTTCGATTACAAAATATGGTAAGTGCTCCATATATATGCTCTTGTTAAACTTCTCTTCTACATATTTGAATAAATGCAAACCATCATTTTCACATTCATCGATCCTCTTTTTTCTAGGAGGGGGTTTTTGAGTTACTGTTTTTGACTGATAATTTTTTAGTTGAATTTATTTGGAGACTCTAGAATTAGGCATGTTTTTCAAATTCACTGTCAACATATTTTCATACAACAACAAATTAAGTTTTATATGCCATAACTCTTGAGTTGGCTGTATGAAAGGCCAAAAAAAAGGAATCATGTTAAGTCGTAGTTTTGAATATTCTTGTACTACTCATTTCTATCAAAAACAACCTTTTCATCTATTTTCTTAACCCTCATATAATCTCTTATTACTTGTATCCAAGTCTTTCGTGGTCTACTTTTAGAAGCTTTGATCTCTCTCGAACGTTTCACATGTCCAAACCATCTCAAATGGCCCTTTCTCATCTTTTCCTCAATTCGGACTACCGCTAATTTTTCTTGAATCTCTTCATTTTTTATTGTCTCTTCTAGTCTTATCACATATCCATCTAAGCATCCTCATCTTCACTACGCTCATCTTCTTCTCATGTTGTTTCTTAATAGTCCAACACTCAGTCCCATATAATAATGCAGGTCTTACAATTGTTTTATATAACTTCGCCTTTAACTTGAAAGGCATGTTGGGATCAAACAACACATCCGACACACTTTGCCACCTCACTCATCCTACTTTAATCCAATGATTTATATCATTTTCTATCTCAATATCGCTCTGAATAATTGATTCCAAATATCGAAAATGACTGCTATTTATTTAACAAATCATCTGTTTTTCTTCTTTTATTTTGTCTTAAATGAAATTAGAGCGACTAGTCTATGGCACATGTTAGATTCCTAAAACCATATATTCTCTTAACTACCTGCATTCATGGATCATGTTGTGCTATATTGCTCTCCTTGTATGTCTCCATGCAGTGAGTTTTGGCTAAATGCATGAACTGAGTATTAACATTTGGTTCTTTCAGCTGGAGGAATTAAAGAGTAAGGTGGTGCCAAATGATCCCATTGAAATGCAAAGAAGAGAAAAAGTGAAGGAAGCTATGATTCATGCCTGGAGTTCATATGAGAAGTATGCATGGGGCAATGATGAACTTCAGGTATGCTGAAATCTTTCTGTATGTATTATATCAAGCATTTGTCTTTCCTTTTTTTCTCACTTTACTACATTTTTACTACATTTTTGGTCATATTACCAAAGTTATGATATGTAAAGTAACATTAATATTGATGATTTGCTCAACAAACTAGTGGCTTTCTTTGCCAAATGATATGTAAAGTAACATTAATATTGATGATTTGCTCAACATGGAATTTTATGCGTACCAACTTCAACTTGTTTAAAATATGATCTCTTTTGTTATATATTTGCTCAGCTCTGTCTTATCCAAAATCTAAAACTGATGCATATAGTTTAGTGATAATTTCACATCTTAAAACAATCTGGACAGGTGCTTTGGTAGCATTCAATCACCACCCTTCTCTACAAGCTTATCATAAAGATGCTAATTTTGTTGATTTTTGATGTCATGTACCAGCCTCAGTCAAAGAATGGTGTCAATAGCTTTGGTGGTCTTGGAGCAACACTAATAGACTCCCTTGATACCTTATATATTATGGGTCTAGATGAGCAGTTTCAAAAAGCAAGAGAGTGAGTTCAACTTTCTATTGTCAGCTTTCTTGTTTTCAATATAAAGGTTTATTTTATTTTATTTAGATTGCATCATTCTCTCCTCTTCATCTGATCAGAGATTGCTTTTAAATGTGAATTTCTGTTTGCCTGTGGTTGTGATTTGGAAGAAGTTTCATAACTTAAAGGCTAGATATTACATGTCATGTTACTTTACCAATAAGGGACTGGTAATTCACTTCTGAGGGAGATATTACCATTTATAAGCAAGTTATAGTTGTTGTTTTGATAGGTTAAACTTTGTTAATAAGAAAAAGGGGGGGTTGCCTGGGGAAGACATGCCTGCTATTGTTGTCTTATATGTGTAGATTATAACTTACATGAACCAGAACACATAGATATTGCTTTTGTTTTTGGGATACAATAGCTGCTTTATTTTGGCATAGCTTATTCTTTTATTTTGGGAAAGCCACAAGACGAGTTAAATAAGAGGGTGTTTAGCAAATAATTTAGTTTGGTTCACACTTCATAGGATGTCAGTTTTCATCATGGTTTCTGATTTTTGAGAGAGGAACTTATGCAGTTGTGGAAACCTCATTCTGGATTTTAAGTTTGAATTTTGATGATGATATGATATGATATAATCTTTACAGGAGTTGGTATAGAAAAGATCTCTAAAGTTTCAACGAAGTAAAACAAGCTGGTTTCAGGGGATTAAACTTGCGAATATTATATAAAAGGAAGAAAAAGATCCTGAGCATTGTAAACACCAAGGTTTCCTAGGATTTGCGCCCAAGGTTAATTACTCAATGCAAATAAAGGGCATATTTCTGGAAAATCATCTCCAAGTAGTTCTCTATTAATTGAAAGAAATTCCATTTTTATTGAAACATGATAATCCTAATAATCCTGCCAGAGCTTGCAATAAGAACAGTGGATTTAAAACGATTCCGTAGTCTGTGAATGGAGACCTAATAACTAAGACATATATAATACAAGAATCTTACACTTAACATCTTCAATCTTTAATAAATGTTGAAATTGCTAAATCACCTCTGATACTTAAAACTTGAGAAAACACCATTAAATAAAAAGCAACAGCCTTTTAATTCTGAAGAATTGCAAAAGGGCAAGAGCAAATAAGCAAAGCCTTTGCCTCTTAGATGGAGTCGGGTACATGGATCAAATTATGAAATTATATAGAAAATGCAAACAATATGAAAAGTTAAAATTAAAAAATCTCAATAATCCAAGTCTTAATAATTCAAAATAGCAAAAACTCAACAATTCATTATTTAAAGCTACTAGGAACTTAAATAATGGTAGGTGCTTTTAAGCTAAAATTGAACTGAAATATAAGCTTAAAATATTAAAGACAATCATACTGCCCTAATACCCTGAAAATGAGTAAAATACTAATTAATATAAAGTATCCTAAATAATCTCAAATATTGCTAATGTATATAAAATAATTACAATTAAATGCATAATGCATTGCATTTTTTAAATAATTACAATTAAACCCATAAAAACATAATAAAGTGGCAAATAAATGTGTTAAATAATTTAATAACTCAAGCTGCTTCTTTACATCCCGCATCAATAAAACTATAATATCTATTTTATAGTAAATAAGGTCCTAAATCTGTGGAAGTTCCTAATTTTACTTATCTTTGATATTTAATTTTGACCACACAGTTCTAACATGCAATTTGCACATTCAGTATTTAAATTGGAAAAAAGAATAGAACATTTACATTCTGATTAAAACTTACTAATTTTCTGTTTAACTTGTAAATCCATCATTTGGTTCATTCCCTTCTAATAAATTAATATTGATAAGTTTAAGAATACAAATATTGTAATGCTGAATGCTAAGAAGCTGGTTAGGGATTAACCTATTTAAGATTTTATTTTGCTACTTTGTTGTAATTTTGGGGCTTATTTGTAATATTTCATAGATCTAGGGTTATATTTGGTATTTTATATTTATACTAGGGTTGAGTGTAGTAAGCTTTGTTTTTAAGTTTCAAGATTGTTAGTTTTTAGAGTGTTAAGTATTTTCTTTAAAGTCTATTTGGCATAAGAGTTTTAGTTCTTTTAGGGTTATGTTGATAGTAGCTTAAATAAATACCCTTGCTTTCGAGGACAGACTAAGAGATTACAATAAGATATTTTTCAATATTATTGCTATTGTGATTGTGTGATGCAATCAATCTTAGGTGTGACTCCTACAGAATCCTTGGTGTGACGCTTAGATTTTCTTCATTCTTAGTTGTCTGGTGCAAATTTAACTATGATGCTTAGGTTTTTTCCTTCTTGGTTGCATGATGTGAATTTTCTTCTTGGTTGCGTGATGATGCAATCAAGGAACACCATCCTTTATTTGTTCTCCTATTGACTTAAGAATTTTAGATTATTATTGCCATAAACCCTAGCCTTTCAAGTTGTCCTATGTAATAGTGATTTGACTGGATGGCAACTTGAATCATTCAAGTAAAATTGTTAACTCTCATAAAAATGTATTTGAAATAAAACAAAAAGTTATATAGGTTTTTAATCTTTGCAATGATTTCACACCCTTAAATATTTATCTGATATTGATAATCAAAGGATAAAAGATTGTGATTCGAGTAGACTACAACTCTACATGAAAATAATTTATGTATATCATAACTCTATCAGAAATTTTGTTAGAAATAAAATAATAAAAATATAGGTATTTTTTCCTTCACCAAAATTTAACACTACTAAAATTGCATTTATATATGGTATAGGTATTTATATCTTAACTCTATGAAATGTACACTTATCTGAGCTTTGATTGCTTTCATATCAATATGTTTCACTTAAATTGGTAAGGAGAAGGGATATTTGTACTTAGTACAATCAAACATAGATATCTTCTTATTTATACCAAATTAGGGAATGAAACTGCCTATTTTTGTTTCATAGTGTATATTTACACTAGAAATGAGCCTTCGTGATGTTACGAGTCCATTGTTTTCTCAATTGAAATTTGTAAAAGTTTTCACTAATTTTTTCTTAATTTTTGTATTTTATTCCAAATTTTAGTAAATGATGATGTTAATATAATCAAATTCATTAGTTGTGGCAATGCATTTGAGAATAAAATAATTATTTTAAATACGATGTTGAAAGTGTGTCTAAATACATCACCTTAAATCAAATTTCAGTAATAATTTCAACATTTTTTAGCATTGAAATTAATATATTAATTAAATAATTAATGAAATGATTAAACTATGGATTATAGTTCTTGAATATCATAAGTTTATTCAGTTGTCAAGTCAATTAAAGTTATTTTTTAATTTAATACTAATTTTATTTGAATAACTTCAATTCAATGACACTAAAATATCTCTTAAATAATTTCAGAACAAAAAATCAAAAAGAAATTCCTAATATAAATTTTATGTATAGTGATTTGCATAATTAAAGCAAAATTTATATTTATGAGTATTTAAATTTGTAGTGGTTATTATTATAATTGAATTTTCTCTTTACTTTCTTTCTTTTTGTCCTAGTTTGAATAATTATTCTAATTAAAATTGTATTATTGTATAATTATAATGATTGATTTGATTTTTAAAAATTATTTAAATAATGGTTTATTTTCTTTTTGTATCTAGGAAAAAATGAAATAAAAAAGGAAAAATGAGAAAATTTATGTAAATAATAGGTTAAAATAGTAGATTAGATTAAGCTTTTTCTTTTTTGTTTTTTAACATTTTTATCTATAGGTTTTTGGGAAACTTTTTTCATGAAAAGTAGTTAGCTAGAAAAATGAAAGGAAAAATTTTAAAAAGAGAGGGAAAATGAAAAATGTTCTCACTTTTTTCTTCTCTTTTCGTTTCCTTTTCTTCTCTCTCTCACTCTTTTTGAAAATATCCTTCTCATTTTTTAAAATAATTGTGTTGTTCTAATTGCTTGACAAGTTGCAGCCAATTGGGCTACCAAGTGTCAAGCGATTAGAACACCCACGGCCCTTAATTTCATCTATAGTATAGATTACCTACTCAAAAAATCTTTGATGGACCCGGCTAAGTCATCACTAGTTCTTGTAATTATGTCCTTTTTACCATCCACTGCAATTCGGCATTTATGGCAGAAAATCAGGCATATATTCTCAATTTTATTCCCCTAGGCTCTCCTTTTTTACTTGTACACCTAAAAAATGCAGTTCTGAAAGTAAGAATAATAGAACTGCGTTCACTTTCTTTATGATATTTTGTGGCATCATGTAATGGTTTTTCTTAGTTCTGCTGCCCCTAGGGTACAACTTAAAGCTTTACATATGTTTCATTTGTTGTGGAGGGAAATTCTAGATCACCTTTTCTTTTCAATAAGAAACTCTTTGATCACCTTATTTCTCTAATCATGAACAATGTGAAATGATGAAAACATGGGGCAAATTGTTATCATGTAATGCAATGAAGTTTCATCATTGCTCTCTCTCTCTCCCCCTCTCTCCTCAGCCTACTGTCTCCCTTTTTCCTGTTGTATGTTTGTCAGGAATCTTTCAACTTTCTTAGAACTTTATTATTATTCCATCAACCTCCTTTTACAAGGATACCAGTGTGTATGTGTCCCCTGAGGTCCCTGGCGACCATTACTAAGTCAAATTGGTTATTTACTTATTTTGATTCCAACTGTTTGAGTTCAATAATTGCATTTGATTGGCACCCATGCTCTTCTGGTTAGGTTGCAAGGAGTATTTTATCCTGGTCATTTGCACAATACTAGGGTGTGATCAGTGGTGCTTTGGGGAGTAGGCAAGCATTGAGCTGCATCACCCAATTGCCTCTCTGGTCACTATTCCTAAGTACACGTAATATGTAATACTGTTTTCCTGGAGGTTTATGGTTAAATTACTATATTGAAAGGTGTGTTGTGCTGTTGTTTGCAGGTGGGTTGCAAACTCATTGGATTTTAATAAGGACTATGATGCCAGTGTTTTCGAGACAACCATAAGGTTGCATTTATCAGGTTTATATGTGTATTAGTTGTTTTATCAAGAAACTGTTATGAGTTATGATCCTTTCCCCCCTTCCAAATAATTTTTTCGTTTTTGTTTTCAAATTGACGCTAATATTTGACTGATTTGTCCTGTCTATCCTAATTGAATATTCAGAGTTGTAGGTGGACTTCTTAGTGCATATGATCTTTCAGGCGACAAGGTTTTCGTTGAAAAAGCTAGAGATATTGCAGATAGATTGCTACCTGCATGGGATACTTCTACTGGGATCCCCTATAATGTTATCAACTTGGCGCGTGGAAATGCACATAACCCTGGATGGACAGGGGTAAGTCTTTTGCATTGCTGCTGTGTAGCCTTTACTCTCGTTGGTTCTATAGCACTGAAAGTTCTTTTAAATTTCGTGAATAAGCAAGGTGGATTGGATTATGATCCCTCTAGCATATATCAGTTGGAGCCCTTATTTTATGCTGTTGGATCAGCAGGTCATGGCCTCCTTCCAGTTGCCATCTCTTCTTTACCCTGAACTACTTGGTGTTATAAAGGTGTGCACCTAGGTGCTAAGGTGCAGTGCCTAATCAACCAAAGTGCCTTGCATCCCTTTGGGCAAGGTGTCTTTGGTCAACGCACATAAAAGCTTGCACAGCTTAAATGTGCCTTTGGTTTTTTTTTTTCTTATTAGCTGTAGTTTTAAATGAAAAAAGTGGAAAACACAAATGCCCTTTACAATAAAGATTACCAAGACGGTCCATGTGCAACTTTTTGTTGAAGATGGAAGAGAAGGAAATATTGAGCTAGTGTCTAATGATGACTTTTAGTTAACTACTTATAAAACTTGATCTTTAGAATACATTAGCTGATGGAATGGAGCTAATTTTTCAATGCTAGTTAATTGTATATAGATTTTAAGTTTGTGAGATGAAATGTATAAAATTTCCTTTCTTATATGTATATGTGTATTATAGTTTTTCTTTTCTAAAATATATAAAGCAATAGCACCTTACATTATCAAGGCAAGTGCTTTTCTATCTTGCACCTTGGGTGATGTAAATGGGTCCTTGCACGTTGGACATCACTAACATTGCTGAAGACTTAGTGGAGCATGCTTTGGTTAGAGTGCAATTGTGGAGAAGCATTTATTTAGCTGATTCCTGTACTTGAGATTAATGCACAACCGAGTTTGATTTGAAAACTGTTATTTGGTTATCCAACAAATACAATGACAGGCACTGGAGATTATTTTCTGTCTGTTTTTAGTAAATCATTTATTAGGTCTTTCATTATTGTTTAAATGGTAGTTTATTTCATTCCACCAGTAGAAAAATTACCTCCTAAGAAGAAAGCTTTATTATGTGACTTAGGGGCTGATATTAGTTAATTATTTTATACATTTATTTCATTGAGTTTGATTTTCCCCCTCTGTTCCCTAGGGTGAAAGTATTCTTGCAGATTCAGGGACAGAGCAACTGGAGTTTATTGCTCTTTCACAAAGAACAGGAGATCCCAAGTATCAGGAGAAGGTATATTCATCTCATGTTTATGCATGCATATGTTACAGAATTTTTTTCTAGTTGTTTTGCTATGACTGCTTAGGTGATATCTGACTTCAGTGCGAAGCCAATTGCTAATCTCATTTCTTAGAAGTTGGGTTAAATTGTTTTAAAGATATGCTGAAAAGCCACAACCACTGGCTCTTTGAGAAAAAACAGTTTTAAGTGGCTATTGGTTGCTGAGGTGGTTAATTAATTTGCTTGTGCTTTAATGTATTAGGTGGAGAAGGTTATTGTTGCGCTTAATAAAACTTTCCCAGCTGATGGTTTGCTTCCCATCTATATTAATCCTGACAGAGGAACTGGTTCATACTCAACTATAACCTTTGGTGCTATGGGTGATAGGTATTTACCATTTGAAACTTCCACCTTCTTTTACTTGGCTTCAAATTTCATCATTTTTTTTCATTTGAGGTTTTGCATAAAATAAACAAGTTTATTGCAGCTTCTATGAGTATCTGCTCAAAGTCTGGATACAAGGAAACAAAACATCATCTTTAAAATTTTATAGGTGAGGAGTCCATCATCTCTCGTTTCTCCATTTGCATTTTTGAATTGCTGCCATCAAAGATTGAAGGATGATAAAATCTTTTTTGTTCGAAAGTTAAGACTTTGAAGGAGATATTTTTGAAGAAATCTCTAGAATAAAACTATTTTATTCTTCTATATTTTTCTTATTACAATGCTAGAATTGCATGAAAATATATAGGCTAAAGACTGAATATTCTCAGCCTTAAAACCCAAGATTTTCATGTATTAAAACAGCTAATCAAAGAAGTAATTTACTCTCTACATATAATAGGAAAATATCTAATGGATTTGGTGTAATTAACCAAATCACTCCTTATTCTAAAAATAAGAGGCTTAACTAAAATAGGCAAAGTAAACTAATCAAGCAATAATGCAGATTAGATTTCCACAATTTTAATATACAGACATTGAAAGCACTTACTACCCCTTTTCCTGGTACCTCTCCCTTTATAGAAGTTTGGTTGAGATTATTATTGATGCATTTTTACTTTTGATATTTCAGCTTTCAATTTTGCAACTCTAAAACCGCCCCAACTCAGCTGAACTCAATATGAGTTTATGACTGAACCTCATAGTACCTGGTTATTAAAGTTCTCCTTCCATCCTGCACAATTAAGTTTATGCTTCGCAGATTTCAGAAATGGAATCATTGTTTACCACGTTGTGATTTTGGGTCTACTTTTGCTTCTATTATTCTATTTCCCTAGAATGAAAGCACTTTTGTTGTTGACACATCTCTAGGCTCATAAAAAAGCATTCTACTTATATCAAATGGGTGTCACTACCAAGGTTTTTGTATATTTTTTTTCTGAAGTCTGAAGTATGAAAAAAAAATGTAAAAGACTTGGTGAGGGCTGAATTTGGGTGATTGAGATAAATCCTTAGCGGACTTCCGAACATAAAACCATTATCACATGAACAAGAATAAAAATGCTGACAGTCTTTATTGATGAATTTGATTGTCATGTTTTAAGCATATAATATTTAATGCAATACTCAACTATTTTATTTTGATTAACTTTCTAATGAGAAAACCCCATTGTGGAATGTTGGATGTAGAGATATGTGGGAGACATCAATGAAAGGTCTACTAAGCTTAATTAGAAGATCAACACCATCATCGTTTGCATATATGTGTGAGAAAAATGGGGATTCACTGACAGACAAGGTAATTTAGGTTACCGTGGCTCTAGTGCTGGATTGTTATTTTATAGTGTGATCATTTGACTTCTTGCTTCGACATTTCATATTTATGCAGATGGATGAATTAGCATGCTTTGCTCCAGGAATGCTGGCTTTAGGATCATCTGGTTATGGTCCTGTTGAGGCTAAGAAATTTCTTTCCCTTGCTGAAGAGGTATTTTTGATGACTTGAAATGCTAAGCTGAAAGTGCTTTGACCTTGATTTTGCTATTGAAAAATGTTTCATATTTTCATTGAATTTCCCTTGGACAAAATAAAAGTTAGCCTTACTGGTTCTGACACAGAAAGTTGATGTCATCCATGAGATCAGTAGATGACCTAATCCCAGATTATTGCTAATGTTGTTTCTGTACATACAGCCATATGTATCTGGGAAAACATGGAAAACTATAAGAAACCTATTTTCCTTTAATGGTCAAAACTCAAAGGCAGGTTCATAAATATTTCTAAGCCTTCATGTCCATTTGGGTCTGTGCATACCCTCCTTTCATGGAGAGTAAACTAGATAGGTTAAGTTGAGTGTGGCTTGCTCAATGAAAGAGAATTAAACTATTTTTGCTATGAGGTTTCACATGTAAGAGTTTTCTTCATGCCTTCTATCAGAAGAATGAAATTGGCAACCTAGAATGAAATTCTACACACATGACTTTTTTTAATTTAGTAGAGGTCTACAATCAATTTATTTATGTGAGATTTAGTTCTTCACATGTTGGCTCTGTAGATTACTTCCCTCTGTATGGGGCACATTTCCTTCTTGTTTCCATTAACAAGCATTACCTTCTTCAATATGATCTCATGCTTTGGTATTCGGTCATTAAGGGTTTGCTTAGTAGGAAGAATGGAAAGGGGTGAGAATGAAAATTTTGTTAATTTAATGGTTAAAATTCATAACCACTTTCCTACTTTGTAGCTTAACCATTAGATTAACAAGTTTTTCATCCTCATTCCTTTCCATCCTTCCTACCAAGTAAAGCCTAAGAGTTTAATACTTGCCTTTTTTTTCGGATAAGCTGAATTTTATTTTCTAAAGCTAGCAAAATTTTGCTACAATAAAACCTCGCTTTACAAGATCCTCATACAACTAGTTTGGAGCCTATTCAGGCACTTCTATATTAAGTCCCCAATCTTCGCAAAGCTTCCTATTGACAGCATCACCAGCTATTCTTAGCCCATGAAGCCTGTATCTTACCACCTTCTTTAGTCTCTCCACCACTTTGAATAGTTGTCTCGTCCAGTTGCTTAACCACGGTCTGATTCCTCTCCCTCCATATCAGATATATGCATGCATTCCAGGTAATTTGCAATATAGTTGAGATAAATGCTCTCCCTTGTAGTCTGTTCATTGCCCAACCCAACTCAGCTGCCCAACATTCTACTCTTCTGGTTATCTGGCCTCTTGCCTCTTGCCTTTTTGGCTTCTTGCTTGCTTTTCGAATACGTGGACATGTGTGCATTGCAGTTATTTATTTTTTTCTTTTTTTCTTTTTCATTGAGAGTAAAAGTTATGTAAAACATTGTGTCTTCAGGTAAGGTGGGTTTTGGGATGTATGGGTGGGTTATAAATAGGTTGGCTTCCAAATACTTGTTTATGATCTGTTCAAACAGCTGCTGGTTCTTCGGATCTGGACTTGATTCTGTCTTCTTATGCAGCTTGCTTGGACTTGTTACAATTTCTACCAGTCCACACCAACAAAATTAGCTGGAGAGAATTATTTCTTTAAAAATGGACAGGTAAGTTTTTGTTATTCACATGATATATTAGAGATTATCATATTATATGATGACATTTTTAAGTGTAATCTTTTCAGGACATGAGTGTGGGTACATCCTGGAACATATTGAGACCAGAGACAGTTGAATCACTCTTTTACCTGTGGCGTTTAACTGGTAATAAGACATATCAAGAATGGGGTTGGAATATATTTCAGGCATTTGAAAAGAACTCCCGGATAGAATCTGGATATGTTGGGCTGAAGGATGTAAGTGCTTATTGAACCCGCAGCATGATATCATTGATTTTCTGTGTTTATCCTTTCAAAACAGATCACAATTTTCAAGGAAAAAAACAATAAGATGCTCTGCTAGCATTTCAATACTTTAGCTTGTGCTTGGATTGAGGGGAAAGGGGGGAAGTAGGAAGGAAATGAAGGGAGAGGAAAATTCCTTCGCCTTGGACAGGTTTTATATTGAATGGAAGGGTAAGTGAGGGAAAGCATTGTCCCTCCAAGTTCCTTGAAACCTCATTTTCATCACTGTCCAAGTTGCGAAACTTAGAACTTCTATATATGATACCATATTCATTTTATAAAATGCATTGGCCATACAAGTTTCTTTCCTAGAGTAAATTTCCTGAAATGATTTAAAGTTAATATGTGAAATTGAAAATGAAATTTAGCATCATAATTCCTATTGGTGTCTTGTGGTGGATATTCACTTTGCCTAACCTCATCACTATTTGAGTTTCTACTTTTAGTTTGCCAATGAGGCCTTGGTTTATTGGAAGGAGGAGGCCCTAGAACCTTAAGGTCCTAAGTTCAAGTGCCACTGTGTATGGGTTTGGTTGTTTAGTTAAGTTATAGTTTATTAGTTGATTATTCAGTAATATAATAGTTGATTATGTGAATGTAATATTTGATTATGAGTGTAATTTCAAAAAAAAGAAAAATTACTAGAAGCAGAATGGTCTGATTTTATTGTTGTAATGATTAATTGCTAATTTTTTTGTTTTTTGTCAGGTTAACACTGGTGATAAAGACAACATGATGCAAAGCTTTTTTCTCGCGGAGACATTGAAATATCTTTATCTTCTTTTCTCACCCCCTACAGTCATCCCATTGGATGAGTGGGTTTTCAACACAGAAGCACACCCTTTAAGAATCGTTAACCGCAATGATGCAAATTTTGCAGAATCGAAAGGGCAACATAAACCAGTGATTAGAAGAATACGAGGCAGGAAGGCAGGTCGATTGGATGGTAATTAGGATTCATTTGCAGTTTATTGTTTTTGGCTGAACTCACTCATATGATTTTAGACGTCAAATAGATGACAAGCTAGAGGTTATAACTTTGTAGTATATTGAAATAGACAGAAGAGTAGGTCTCCTCTTCCCATCAGAGAAGCATGCGGCTCGCTCGAACCAAATGCCTTCATTCCAGGCTTAGTGTAAACTGTTGTATCATATATTCATATTGGCTTGAAATGCCATCTCTTTACCTTCTTAAAATGGATGTCTAGCATATAATATATCTAACATTTCTCGAAGCTTTTCGCATAGGGTTTGTGTAGGATATCCATTTGGAATCTTGTGAAAGAATGTTTTATTTGCATTTTCTCTCTTTACAGAGAAGGTTTAGGTGTTAGTTATCCGGACCGAATTGTTTTTAATACATTTAAATAGATTTTTATTTTATAGAAATTCAAAATGTATAAAAAAAATTAATTCAAATATGATTCAGATTGGTTAGGATATTTTTTATTCTATAATACGAAATTTGAATTAATTTGAATATTTAATATTTAATTGAAATTAAATCAAACAGAGAAACAAATCGATCTAAATTGAACCGCGATTACGAATTTCATCTTTTTCCTCAGCCCAAACCAAAATCTGACGGACGTCCTGTTCTTTAACACCGATGAGATCAATCTATCCTATCAGCTTTTACGCTCGTTCAACGGTTCTTCAATCTTACATAGTGGTAGCGTCAACGCTCCAACGACGACGTTTTATGCCACCAGCAAGACAACGAACAATAACTTCCCAAAAGAAAAAAGAAAAAGAAAATCAAACTCCCAAAATCAAATTCCCAACAAACGAACGCACCCTCTCTCCTTCTTCTCAATTCCTCGTTCATTTCTCCTCCTTGATTCCTCCTTCTCTCATAGTCATATCCCTTCTCCCAAACAAATAAACAAAATTTTGTTTCAAGAAAAAAAAAAACAAATATGTCAAATTCGCACAGCGATACGATACCTCTTCACGCGTCGTCCCAATCGGACATCGACGAGATCGAGAATCTAATCCACGCCAGCGTCCAATCTGGCCCAGCCACAGTCCACCCGGCCCGCCCTCCAAGCCCACCTCGGGCCTCCATTCCTGTCTCCTCTTCCCCCTTCATCCAATCTAACATTCCTCCTCCGTCTTCACTCTCCTCATCATCCTCCAATCAGAAGGTGCCGTCTGTCCCTGCCGCCCCTCCTCCTCCTCCACCCGTCGGTAACTCTAGCAGCATCGTGGCCACTGGGTTCGGTCCCCCGCCCAACACCCTAACGGAGCCCGTTTGGGACACGGTGAAAAGAGATCTTTCCCGGATCGTAAGTAACTTGAAGCTGGTGGTGTTCCCGAATCCCTACAGAGAAGATCCAGGAAAGGCGTTGAGAGATTGGGATCTTTGGGGTCCTTTCTTCTTCATTGTCTTCTTGGGACTCACCCTTTCTTGGTCCGCCTCCGTTAAAAAGGTTTGCTCTCACACTGGATTTCGATTTACATTTTTTTTTTAATTTTTATATATACTTGGGTATTTGTATTTGGAATTTGTCTCCATTTGATAATTTTAAGTAGAGCGCAATGGCACAACATGATTTATGTACCTGATCTCACATCATAAAAGAAAGGCTTAGTTTGCAATTGCAATTGAATTTGATAGTTTTGCAAGGATTTTCATATGTATTTGTACAAACCATATTGACACTTATCAATGGGCTGTGGTTTGAAGATTTATTTGTTTTATGACGACTCTAGTCTTGAATTCAAGTTGCAATTCTTAAGATTGGGACTTCGGGCATGATATATAGTCTATGCATCTTTCCAGTAAATTTTTTTATTGTTATTCTCAGCTGCTCCTATTATTATTTGTAATGTTTACTGATCTTGGAATCCCATCTCTGTTGATCATTGCCTCTCCTTCAAAGTCATAGAGTTTAGATGAGATCTAGTACTCACCAGTTATGGCTTAGAAGCTAGAGGATTAGGATTCTTAGTCCTTTGAACTTTTGCATGGTTTTGACCATAATTGAAGCTTTTGTTCAATTTAAGTAACCTTATCCTTTGGCTTGCCCACCTGTCTGCATAGCCACATGTACTGTTGCTTGTGTCTTTGGCCTTTTCCATCTAGAGATGGATATGATCCAGCCGCATTTAGTGATAAAAGTTGAGGTCGACCTAGGACAGAATGGAGATAGCCTGAGGTGCTTGGTTCCCTACAACAAAAACAGTAACAACAAACTAATTAGGCCTTATTATCTCATAACTCTGAAGTTGACTATATGAAAGGCTAAAAAAGGCATTCATGTTAAGTTGTAGTTTTGAATCTTCTTGTGGCACCCATTTCTATCAAGAACAACTTTTCCATCTACTTTCTTAACCCTCATATCATCTTTTATTACTTGCATCCACGTCTTTCGTGTTCTACCTCCAAAAGCTTTGGTCTCTCCCAAATCCAAAAGCTCATTTCTCCTAACTGGTGCATAGATAGGCCTACATTTCAAATGTTCAAACCATCTCAAACAACCCTTTCTCATCTTTTCCTTAATTTGGACTACTTCTAATTTTCTTCGAATCTTTTCATTTCTGATTTTGTCTCTTCTAGTCTTATCACATATCCATCTAAGCATCCCCATCTCTGCTACACTCATTTTCTTCTCATGTTGTTTCTCAACAGCCCAACACTTTGTCCCATATAGCAATGTAGGCCTTATAGTTGTTTTATACAACTTCACCTTTAACTTGAAATGCATGTTTGCAATCACATAATATATCTGACACACTTTGCCACCTGAGGTGCTTGGTTCCTTATTTGCATGAAATTCCTTCAAGAACTTTTGATGCATGATGACGTTGCTTTACATTTTGAAGAGATATCATCTTACTGTATTTTGTGATTACTTTTGATCTTGCTTCTCCTCGTGTCATATTTGTGATTTCTCTTCTTACAATCTTGCCTCATCTTTTCTACTTTTTTTTATCTGACATTGATATTCTGGCAAGTTTTTTCTGTTATGCATATTTTCAATGTATAAGAGGCATCTCTTATGTTTGTATCTAGACCTTTCTTCCTTTTTTTCTGCTATATATATATATATATATATATATTTCCTACTTTCTGTTTATTTATGAAATTATCATGGCTTTTAGTTAGTCATTACTAACTTTTTCTCCTCTTAAAAAATGTTCCAGTCTGAGGTATTTGCTGTTGCATTCGCACTGCTTGCAGCTGGTGCTGTAATCTTGACGTTGAATGTACTACTACTGGTAATTTTCTCTTTCCTTTACAGGGTAAAATTTTGACCATGTGTGCAAGCTTTTGAAATTGAGTCAAATATTATATCTGGTCTGAGAATTCCCCTTTTACATATAATTAGATACCATTTTTTTGAAAGTTAGGTATAAAAAGCTTGCATAGATGGTAAGTGTATGACTTGTGCTGAGGTTTTTTTTCTTTGCATTGTTTCAGGGTGGGCATATAATATTTTTCCAGAGTCTGAGTCTTCTAGGTTATTGTTTGTTCCCTCTGGATATCGGAGCCCTAATCTGTATGTTGAAGGACAATGTGATAGTCAAAGTGATAGTGGTCTGTGTGACATTGGCTTGGAGCTCATGGGCTGCCTATCCTTTCATGAGTTCAGCTGTCAATCCTAGGAGAAAAGCACTTGCACTCTACCCCGTTTTTCTTATGTATGTATCCGTTGGTTTTCTCATCATTGCCATTGATTGATGTTCCTTCCCTTTAGGTGTTCCAAAAGAAATATCAAAACTTTTATGGTGGAGTTACATAGGAATGTCTGTATTTTTTTTTTTTTTGACCTGACACAATCTTTGAAGGCTAATTCGCCAAATATGATATACTAGCTGTATCAAATCGTTTTGTGTTCTACTTCTTGCTTTCTTTATTTCTCTTGTTAGTGATGATTTAAGGGCTCAGGCTGCAATGGGGCGTATTAGCTATTGAGCTTTCTTTTTTTTTTTTTTTTCTCTATTAATTTTTATTTGTGGAAGGGGATTTGAACCATTTTGTAATCTCATTTTTGTGTTGTTTTGTTTTGGATTTGTCCCTTCACCTGTGCCATGAGATGCATATCAAAGTACTGGATGCGCTAAAATGGCTCAAAAAAAAAAAAAAAAAAAAGAAAGTTGTGATCCGTTGTCTTTCATCCTAAAACTTGATTTCTGTTGAAATGGTAACACGACACATCATGTCTTAGGGAAGGGTATTTCCTATGGGTTAATTAATTAACTTGTTTTCCTTTGGATTATAATGAAATTATCAACGAACCAACCTTCTAATATATGTCGATTCTTACAAAGGGATTTGGGCTGTTGAAGGGTGTTTTTGTCTTTTACTTGAAATTTTGATGTTAAAAAAAATAAAAAGAAAAAAAGGGCCACTATAGGTGGAAGCCAATCCAATTTGTCTTGATTTAACAGAAAATTTAGACTCAAATTCAAAAAAGTCTGAATTTGAAATAATTTCAATCTGGAACGACTCAAAGTCAAAGTAAAACAAACTCGTAATGACTCAAATTTAAAACTAATTCCATTTGAAATCCGTAAAATTTGATAAAAGAGTAAATTATATATAATGTTATATTACAGAATATTTGGTTATTAGGTAAAATTTGTTGATATAAATATTTATGTGAATAGTTTTTCTTTTCGATAATTAGAAAATTTTTAAAATTTTTCTTTATAATGACATATAAAATACTTTTTAATTTTAAATTATTTATCAAAAATATATTTAAAAATTATTTAATTATCCAAAATTTTCCAAATTTAAATGGAAGACCAATTCATATATATAAAATAAAAAATTTTCACATTATTTATAATTAACTCTCTATTATCTTTTATTGCAATTGTTGTTTCAATTTTAGTTATATTTTTTTACAGCAAGTTTTAATTTTAAATTTTTAGCTGTTGGTTTCATATTATCAACATTTTTTTGACCAATTTAAATTTAAAATAATTAAATAGATAAAATTATCCATTTAAATTAAAAAGTAAATTGTCATATAAATTTAAAATTTTAAAAGTTAATCTTATTTAATTCAGATTTCATTAGTTACGTAGATATATTTTTTTTTAATTTTAAAATCTTAAAATGATATTTTTACTTTCATAAAAATTTTTATTCATTTATTTTTTAAAACATTTTAAAATTTAAAAGATAAATATCACTTATTATATTTTTTAAATTCAAAATATCTTTATCAATTTAAAAATGATCTATACACTTTAATTGTTATGCAATAAACCTATAAATAGTATATGCTACACCATTATTATTTTTTCAATTTACAACTTTTCTTTGAAAGGTATACTATTACTTTTATAATTTTATTCTTATAAAAAATAATATTTATCTCAAACAATTTTTCTTTTAATACTCATTTACTATTTTTTTGCTTTCATATTTTTTTTTTTTGAAGTTTTGATCAATTGTTATGATATGTTCATAGATATTTATTAAAATTCTTTTGTCTTCCAAAAAATTTTTTTATTAAAATATAACTTATTAAGATATCTTTTTTCTTAAAATTGTATAATTTTATTTTTGGTGATTTTTTTTTACTTTAACTTATTATAAAAAATATTATTTTTTATTTTTCATATTTTTCATATATTTCAGAAATAATTTATTTTGTTATAAGTTAGTTATTGAAATCATACAATTTGGTTCTAATAAAATAAATACTATCATTTCTAGAGGAAAAATACTTATTTCAATGCTTGCTTTGATATATGAATAATTGTTTTGAGTTAATTGATGAGGTACCAATGATATAAATATTATATTCTTTTGCTTCTATTTTAAGATAAATGACTAAAGAGATATTTAACTTGATTGTAGCATATATCATTACTATTGGTTTAGATTTATAATTATATACTTTCAATATTTTAAAAAATACTCTAAGATAATTTATAAATCAAATGGTTTTGTCTACAACTTTTATATTTTTTTTCATTCTTATCAGTAAAAACATTTTTATACTTTACATATTTACTCAACAACTTTCGATAACTCATAATTCATGAATCAAACATTTTAGAATTTTTTTTTCATCTTGTATCATGAACCAAACAGATTATATACACACACATACATATATACATATATATATACATTTTTAAAATAAAAATTTTAGAATCAAGATATGATAAATTATTTTTTTCAAATAAAAAATTAAAATATATTTTTTATTAAAATAATATATAAATTAAAATAAATTAAAAAATATAATAAAAAATCTATGCATTGCACGAATTAAAATATTAGTGTTTTGATAATTTGAATTTGGAATGATCATATTCTAAGTAAAACAAACTTGTAATGAGTCAAATCTAAAACTAATTCAATTTGAGATTTGTAAATATTAAAAAGGAGTTGAAATGTAATTAGCCTGATTGAACTTGAATTGATCGATGTTTGTAATTGTCAAAACCTGAGAGGCTCTAAATCTCCTACACTCCAAACCTAAAATTGTTTGTATCTAAAATCATCCAAATCGAAAATAATTTGAACCTATAGACAAACCAACCCAAACCCACCCAATTACGACCTATAAATATTAGGAATCTACCCTCTCTTCAGTCTCATATTAAGACTGGAAAGACCAATTAAGGCAATTGAGAAAATTAAAAATTGATTAAAAAATTATTTTCAGTTTGATTTATATTGGTTTTGATTCGAGTTGTGGACAATTCTATTTAGTTTGATTCAATTTTCTAAGTTGAAAATCAAAATTATCCAATTCAAATAAAATTTTATTTTTATTAATTTTTTAATTACTTATAAATTTTTATAATAAAAAAAAGTGTTTTATTTTTAAAAAAGTTAGAATTATTATTAAAATTTTAAAAAAAATCAAATTGATCCAATGAAATTCAGGTGAGTGTGATTTCTAAAAAAATCAGAATATTGCAAATTAAAAACTATTTTTTTAAATATACCCATATATATATATAAGGGTAAATTTTACTCTCATAATTTTTTATACAACTTATATTTTATTGAATTTGATGGTTGTATTTCATTCTCTATTCTCACAGGTCATACTTGTCAAATTTCGAATTAATTAAAAATAGTTGACTATGAGCTTGATATAAAAAAATTTTCAAGTGTTAAATTTATACCAACAAAAGATAATATTCTTGATTGATAGATTGATGCCGGTAATTGATGTTTAAGATATAAAGATTAACTGTAAACAAAAAAACTCACAAAGAAAACAATTCATAAGAATTTGAATAATGGCAGAATATGATTATTAGATTAAAAGAATAAAAGTTCACCATCAAGACTAAAAACTAAGGATACAGAAACACTATCCTAAAATTCTAATAAATGATACAAAACAATAAAAGTTCATCACTCTAGAAAATCTACTTAAGAGATACAGAACTTTAAAAATAATCTAGAAGATTGCCTAAGAATAAAGAAAACTATATTCTGCCTTTTACCAAAGAATAATAAAAAATATATAGGTTAGGAACATCCCTCTAAGCATGAAAACTTTCAGATTACATTGCTACAATCATGCCTAAAATCATAGGATTTGCATGCGAACATAATCTGCCCATTTACTCCTGCAGATTACATGATAATGAACCTAACCACAATCTCATTCATATTCATGATCTTTTTCAGCTAGTGTGAACGCAGTCTTCCTATTCCAGCCCATCTTATTTATGGATCCATTTAATAGATTTGGACTAAAGATAGGCCCATCTTGTTTTTTAATAAGCATGCCTTAGTTTCAGCCCAAGTTGTATATTGTGTAGATACTCCGGTGTCAATCTCCTCTGGTTAGAAAAGACTTGTCCTCAAGTCTAAATTAGTATTCTCTCAATGGTGAAATGACAAATCATAAATCAAATGGTTTTGTCTACCACTTTTATGTTTTTTTTTTTTATCAATAAAAACATTTTTATACCTTACATATTTTCTCAACCACTTTCGATAACTCATAATTCATGAATCAAACACTTTAGATTTTTTTTTTTCATTTTGTATCATGAACCAAACAGATTATACACACATATATATAGATTTTTAAAATAAAAATTTTAGAATCAAGATATGATAAATTATTTTTTTCAAATAAAAAATTAAAATATATTCTTTTATTAAAATAATATAAAAATTAGAATAAATTAAAAAATATAATAAAAGATCTATGCATTGCACAAATTAAAAAATTAGTGTTTTGATAATTTGAATTTGGAATGATCATATTCTAAGTAAAACAAATTCGTAATGTGTCAAATCTAAAACTAATTCAATTCATAAATATTAAAAAGGAGTTGAAATGTAATTAACATAAGACTAATTGTACTTGAATTGATCGATGTTTGTAATTGTCTAAACTTGAGAGGCTTTAAATCTCTTATACTCCAAACCCAAAATTGTTTGTATCTAAAACCATCCAAATCGAAAATAATTTTATCTTGAAGACAAACTAACCCAAACCTACCCAATTATGACCTCTAAATATTAGGAATCCAACTTCTCTTCAGTCTCGTATTAGGATTGGAAAAATTAAAGGTATAAATGATATATTAGTATTCACAAGCTACTCAGATTCGATTCGAATAAAATTCGAATTCGGCTCAATTATTATCGAGTCGAGCTCAGATTCGATTCGAATAAAATTCGAATTCGGGTCAATTATTATCGAGTCGAGCTCGAGCCGAGTTCAAACATTCTTATATCTAACTCGAATAACTTACGAGCCTAATCGAATTTTTATATTTAAATATATTTTTATTATTTTAATTAATAAAATATCTCGAAACTCAAGTTTGAGTTCGAACATAAATAATCGAGTTTTTGTCGAATATAAGAATCAAGTTTATTTTTACATATTAATTGAGCCTAATCAAGTGAGCTCGAGTAACTCAATTTCTATCTTGAATCGAGTTCGAGCTAAAAAAATAAAACTCATTCAAGTTTAAATCGAGTTTCGAATCTCGAATTTCAAATCGAGTTCGAATTCGAATTTAATGTTGTATCGACTCGAATTGGATCGATTATAGCCTTAGAAAAGATCAATTAAGGCAATTGAGAAAATTATAAATTAATTAGAAAAATTATGCTCAGTTTGATTTATATGGGTTTTGATTCGAGTTGTGGATAATTCTATTTAGTTTGGTTCAATTTTCTAAGTTGAAAATCAAAATTATCCAATTCAAATAAATTTTTATTTTTATTAATTTTTTAATTACTTATAAATTTTTATAATAAAAAAATAAATGTTTTATTCTTAAATCAATGTAAATAAGTTAGAAATATTATTAAAATTTTCAAAAAAAAAATCAAATTGATCCAATGAAATTCCGTGGGT